ATGTTTTAGTCTGGCCACCTCGAGCCTTTTTCCAGCCTGAACCCACCTCAGCCAACATTGTGTGACGAGGCAATCGGTGACTAGGCATACGTAGTACGCATGTTCGTGCGGTAGACAGTGACACACGCCTAGTGTCTTAGGTCTATTGGCGATACTACCTGCCCTCCCAAACCATGTTGGGTAGAACGGGGCCCATGAACCAAGGTTTGAAATTCAGTTCTTTAAGCCAATGAGCCACAAGTCCACTTATAGAAGTTAGTCAGTCATGAACAGGGGAATTTTTTTTAAAATGCATCACGTTAGAGAACTGCGCTATTTCGCGAATTTTAATAATATAGCACCAGGAAATTTGCAACACTTACTAAGCAATCATAATTAGACCGAGTCACGCTAATCATATGAGAGCTACTGATACTATGTTGTTTAGGTTTAATTCCATAAGGCATCATTATGATTAGTGATGAGCTGCAGTCCCAAGGCGTTGGAACAGTCGCTTCACTTGGTAATGCAAGGGTTAAAAGAAGTCCTACTAAGAGCAAAACAGACGCTACCAATGATATTTTGTAGATAACATTTTCGTCTAAATTGTTGATATCTAAGTATGGTAGCGTTTAATAATTCCACTGCTTTGAAAATAATTCTTTAAAGACACAATTTCGGGTCACTTAAGCATCATACCTAATACGGCTGTCAATTTTAATGAAATCCTAGTTTACTATATTGTCGACCCTTAATGCTATTCAGGGTCGATATCGTAAACATGGGGTTAATCCAAGGTTAGGTTTGTAGACAGGATTGGCACTGGGTCATTCTATAGACATACGGCTGACGTTGAGTCAGTAAGTAATAATTGTCAACGTTTTGAGCTACTATAATTGTTAGACAAGTGATTTGTTTTCCGGACGACGCCAGAGGTCAAAAGGACATGCAAGAAAACTACTGAACAGGGATGGTGCCTTTCGATAGGATAAATAAGAATATGTATCAGTCTCAACTTTTGTGTGAGTAGCAGCTTTCTTAAATGTATATTTACTTGGGTTGTGTTATACTTTGTCAGGAATTTTGTGGTTAAGCGTATGAAAAACTTCTTTGTTTACTTAACATAAAGCGATTTCACCAGCACATAGATGGATGACAGGCTAAACTACTAACAAAACGCTCTAGTTTTCCGACCGTTTGTTGTATCACATTACAATTCATCATCGTCAAAATCAACATAGGACCAGGCATTACTGTGTAACGGTCCAACTTGCCACGTCTCATATCAGTACATCAAGTAAAAAGACAATGAGGCGGGAAATGAAGAACAAAAGAAGGTCCAGTCAAAAGATATATAAAGTACGAAAAGTAAGAGAAATCGAGAAAATAGTGAGATTCGGTATAGCGTCGTTAAGATGAGGATAATGAGGATAGTGTGTGTGGGGATACATCTGCACCACTCACATCGGTTCTCACCCATGTGATCACCTAAAGTCCTTCTCTCCCCAACCACTAGTTTCTCTGATCCCATGGACCCAAACCACCTAGTCTGCATCACCCTACATGGCTTAAACCAACAGTCAAACACTTCATACATTGATCCCATGTTATATAGTCTCGCCACCTCAAGACTTATTCCACCCTAAATCTACTTCGGCCAACATCGTATGACGAGGCAATCAGCGACTAGGCATACGTAACACACGTCTGAACCAACAATCTCAGTCAATGAAGGTTCACAACTTCATCAACCGACTTACCTCTTCTCCCTTAAACTTTACAACCGACTTCTGCGTTACTCATGTGGTGACACCACGGAATAGGGTCTATGCTACGAAGACAACGGTGGTCAAACACCTGCACTCAGTCTTCTCATGTCTTCCACTTCCAATGGCCATGTTTCACACCCATACAGTACAACAGAGTGGACTGCTGTGCAGTACATGCAACCCTCAATAGACAATCGGATATCACGGCAATGGCGCCACAAGTGGCGTAAGTTCAGGTTGTCACACCTAATATCATCATTTATCAAGATCAACACAGGACCAGGCATTACTGCGTAATGGTTCAAGTTGACATATCTCATGCCAGCACATCAAGTAACGGTAATAAAATGGAAGATGAAGGAAAAAACATCAGTCGAAAGAAGTAGAAATAGAAAACGGTAGAAGAAAGGAAGGAACAATGAGATGAGATTAAGTATACCGGTTAAGATGAGGATAATCGGTGTGTACATCTGCGCCACTCACATCGATTCTGAGCCATATCACCTCCAGCCTCCAACCACTGGTTCCTCTTGTCACGCGGACTCCAACCACCTAGTCTACATCGCCCTACGTAGCTCAAACCAACAGTCAAACACTTCATATATTGATACCATGTTTTAGTCTTGCCCCCTCACGCCTTTTTCAAGCCTGAACCTACCTCCGTTAATATTGTGCGATGAGGCAGACGATGGCTAAGCATACGTGATACATATCCCAGCTATCTCAGTCAAAGAAGGTTCACAACAGCACCCAACATCTTAACTCTACGTCTGACTTCGGCATTACTCACGTGACGACGCCACGAAACACGGCCTATGCCATGAAGGCAACGGTGGTCAAACACCAGAAGCCTTCTCACGTCTACAGAAATTACTAGACGACTTCATGTTCCAGAAATCTTAAGAAATAGGATGCAACCAGTTGTCTTATTTCCCTAATTTATAACTTCTCACTGTAAGTCACAAACTTTACTGGAACATCCAATGTCAAGCGTCGGATCATAATGCTCATAATGCACAATTAATTGGTCATAACTGTTAGTAAGAAGGTCGACACCTACGGATATTGAAAAAAAGACAGGTTAAACTATGAAATGACACCGGTTTTAAAGTGTACGTCACTGGATTCTAAGTGAGCAAAGACTAGAATTTGGTATCGCTCCCGGATGACTGCAGTTCATCATGAGCACTGCTTTTAAACAACTTAGGCTTCTAAAGCTATCAACATAGTACGTAACAATAAGAAGAAGAAGAATCGGGATAATAAGTTAACTCAGCGAATACGCATTTTCGTCCGAAGATGTCCATTGGTTAAATTCACCTTGTCTTTGTAATATCACGAGAATTTTTCGACAATCATAAGGACGTGTTTTTTTCTTTTTAGGAATTGAAAGCTACTTCATAATAATAATAATCAGAAAAATGAAAGACACAAGAACTGGATAAAACCTCAAAAACCAGACAAGCAATCACCTCATATCAGAGTAGAAGGCACTAAGGTGACAGAAAGTAAGAGAAAAAGACGGAGTAAAACCATAACGAAGCGCGATATGACGATTAAAATGTAAATAATATGTACACGGCTGAAATTAAAAGCGAGTACTCTATAGACTTTAGATATTTCTTAGTCTAGTTAATTTTGGTTTTCCTTCGTCAACTTTGCTTTATGAATTATTGTATTAGAGGATGGATATAAGCTAAAATAAAGTGACCAGAACTAGCTTGCGACTGATATGTGTGGTTGCAAACTTCCACATTTATTCATATACTGCTTACAGGTACTTGATATATAACTTGGCGGAAATCTGAGTTAGTGATAATCAGGCATTCTGATAGGTCCAGGTATTCATTCTTTTAAGTCATTACAATAACCCTCTGATTTTGCACTTTGACAAAGATGTGAAAATGGAATATTATGTGAGCGATTACAAACTACTGGCATCAGACATACCTGACGCCTACACTACTAGAGTTACACGGTACGGTTAAGTTAGGTCTTAATTAGTGGAGAAACTGAGTGTAACTAAGTGAATATAGTTGGCTATTACAGAGTGATTGCACAACAGATAATAATGATCACACCAGTCAACTCTATCTAAACCTGCGCCAACATAGTGGAAGAACACAGAAGAATATCAAGTAGTATTCGTCTATATTAATTCTCGCTTTCAAAATTCAAACTTCGTGTTGTAGAATTAGTGGACGACGTCGGATTTTTTTAGAATTGCTTTTGTAACTGTTTATTTCCCCACAACGCAGCACTATTTTTTCGGGAAAACTGTTTGGTCGAAAAATTTGAGGGCCAATTTTGTCTTATCTTCGGGACTACTTCAGGGTAATTACAATTAAATTTAGGCTGGCCTCACCTATGAAGATCGACTTAAGGAGCCGAACCTCTATTCGATCGCAGAGGGGAGATGTAGTCATTCTACACAGGATTCTAAGAAATGACTTAGGACCCGAGTTTTTTACTCTTTTTCTTCCCACCTCAGAGGACATATTGGGAGGCTACAAAAGCTACAAAGAACGAAGTCTCCGCAGAGTACTGGTTCCCAGCCAGCATTAGCTTTGGACGCAGATGGGGAAACGCATGATATTCCCCGAAGTTTCCAAACGTTTCCCCAGAAACTGTTACAAGTTCCAGAGTGCACCTAAAGTTCACAAAGTGTAGGCAGGGCGCCCCAAGTTTTTGAATAGCCTATATTCGCAGTTCTGAGAAGCCATATTTGGTAATATTCTTATATACATCGTTCATGTTTCATTGCTACATGTGCTTGTGTATTACAAACCAATGAAATGGAAACGGCCAACGGAAATATTTGAAAACTTTTGGGGGAAACTTGAAATTTGGTAAGTGCGCCCGAAGTAAATGCTGGCTGAGTTCTCGCGTGGAGTAATGAACTCCTAGCACCGACTCCCTGAAGTGGTGCCCACATCATCAAGTGAATCGTTCGAAAGGAGATCGGAAAAGCACAGAAATATACTGGGAAAGGATTAATACAGGCTTACAGCCTATTATCCTTAAACAACAAATCTGAATCTGAACACACACTAAAACTGAGTTACACTTGGTGTTAGTGTTGCACACTCGTACATAAACCACATGTTACTGCTACAAGGGGGGGGGTCAACATTCAGCATGTTAACTCTAGAAAACTGATGTCTGGGTTCGCGGTGAAAAGAAATTAGTTCACTATGCAGTATGTATTTTTAAAACCGACTACTAATAAACATTATTGTCATGTACACTTACTAACAACTCCATCAGTTCTTTCTGCAACCTAAAATAGAGATAGTTGTTAGTAAAAACTTATCGTAACAACCTCTTGCTAACACTGTCCCCATTCATTTTTAAAAGCACTGTTGCGCGGGGAACCTCAAGGTAGGTGGTAGTCATAGCTGTGAAGATGAAAACGTAGTGAATTTCCAAAATAAAACTGCCATAAATCCTGTCTACTAGGACATGAAAGTTCTCCATCTCAATTCTAATAACCTCTTCAAATGTTTACACGCTCTTGTTTGTTTCAACCATTCTACAATGTCCTCTGATCGCCTTATATATTCATGCAAGTTATTAAAAGGTCTACAACTTATCGTGATGCCTTGTCAGACAAGATGAAGGAAAGGTATCGCTGCGGATGGCAATGTGCTTTTAAACGAATAACTTTATCTCAGCTGACTGTATGAAAGTATTAGCGGGAAATACACGTTCATGCGGGGAAAAGTGGATTACTTACAACCTCATCTATCCCCAAAAGTGCAACATAGTGCTGGATTAGTTGCATTGGAAGGAACTTGGTTACCTGATCTCTATGGCCCAACATCCAGTATCTTTTTGCCAGCTAGTGTGAATCAACCGGTTTCTAGGTCTTCGATGATGCTTCCAGGTCTTTGGAGGATTTCGGTGCGGTAGGTCTGCGCACTCGCCTGCTGTGGCTGTGGACGGGCGGTTGACTGCTGGTTAAGTTTGTGAGGATTGTGTGACTTTTCAAAGGAGTGTGGCGTGTCAACCTAGTCCTTATCTTAGCTGGATGAGCATAAACCATGCTTCACTGCGTGGCTGTCCAACATCTTCCTGGATCTGTCAGCAGGTGGCTTAGTAGTAATCGCGGCGAGCAATACGATCCAGTGACCGCAAACTAGTGGAGAGAAAAGGTTGTGAAGCCACACAGATTTTCGCTATTTGATAGGCGATTTTCCTCAGGTTACCAAGAGGACTGCCACAGTGGTCTTTTGGTGGGGTCCCACTGCTCGGCTGGCTTAGATTGCATAGTATTTCGCAAGCCATCAAGTCACCATGTAACCTATGGTGGCCATGACGAAAAAACCCTACGCCTATCCTCAGAAGGGGGCGCCTAGTTGTCTGCGATAAAGATCACCACCGCTTAGGCTACGGAGACATCTCCTGGTCAATTAGAGCTAGCTTCTAGCTTGTTGGTCGGCATTATTCCCAGGTCGTTCTCCGTGGTGTGGGAAAGTTGCGTCCTATGAAGACAGTAGGATAGTTTTTGAGAGCCAGAGGTGTGGAGAAACATGGTTTAGCGTCTATCTACAGTAAATGCTAGTGGAGAAGTGAGACAGCGCGAAGTCACTTGCGAAAAGAAGGAGCAACAACGGAACCAGGATTGCTCCTTGCGATAGGCCAGGCGACGGCATCCCCGAAGTTGATAGAACCCTGCTGACTTTTATCTAGAGTTCTTTGCCTTCTAAATAGCTCTGCAACGAAGAGGGCACTGACCGTCGATTCCCAACCTTGATATTTTGCGAATGGGAATGGCATATGAGACTGCGTCAAAAACCTTGAGGTGCCTGGCCCAGGCTTTGTGAAACCATGTTGAGCATCACTCAGTGCTCCCTTCCCCCCAAGTGCTCTCTCAAATGTTCCTCTATCAGGCTCTCCATCACTTTTGACAGCACTGGTGGAAATGCTACAGGTCAGTACCGTCTGGCGTTCCGCCTGTCCCCTCCTTTGGAGATGTTCCCGCTCTCAAGGAAGCATGTGTTTGTCTAGAGAGTGTTGAAATGGATTACAGAGCGGGATGCATTGGGTACTCCCACAATGGTTCAACACGGATGGCAGAATGTTGTCGCATCCTAGTGATTTCCCTAGGCAGAGCTTTGGCAATTTTTTGAGAAACATGAAAGGAGTTACCTTTATTCCATGCAACTTCATCCCCATAACTAGTGCTGAGGGCTGCTTGGGCGGTTAACAACTTTGGTCGAATGGCAGCATGTTCAGTTATCTGCCGAGGGCAAGGTTGGAGGTTTTGGTGGTTCCGGGTCCAGAGCTGGCCTCTCTGGTCAGTTTTCCGGGACTCAAGCTGCCCAGTCTGTGGATTTTCTCTCCGCCAAGGCTCCATATACGTTTTGGGGGCCCGCCTGAAGGCTGGTCTGAACGACCTGCTGCCTTCTCCCACTTTGATGCGGCGACGATTTCTTAGCGCCGTATAGGTGGTATGATTTGACTTTTTCGGATATCCTCCAGTCATCCTAAGCATTCCCCCTTGCTTTCAAGGAGCTTTCAGTGCCCCGTTTCAGCCACGAAGTTCGCTTCCTTGGTACCGTTGTGACCACTGGGACGTTTGAGGGGTAGCCCTGTTAATTTTGCCTCCGAATGGTTACCAGTACTGATCAACTGACAAGATACTCTTATCCTGGAACCATGCTGTGGTCGGCGGATATTGGTTCACCATCTTGCCTTGCTGTAGCAAAGACAAGGATGAGACCTCTTTCATGGTAGTTGTTCATTGAATACCAGATCCAACACTACCACGCTGTGATCGCTGGTGCCGAGGTGGTTCGGAACTAGACGTCCTCTGCCAGCAGATGGTCGCCGATAAGAAGACAGTCCAGTTTGGGCAGTTTCCCACTTGATCCTCGGTGCACGTCATTGCCAATGATCCCATGTAGCCCTGTTCTGTTGGTGGTGTTGAGCAGGTTTCGACTGAACCTATGGCTTGAGGTTGCTCCGTTCCGCCCTGGAGCAACAACCCTGAATCATCCAGTTTCTCTGACTTATTCACGGAATTCCAATCTCCAATGCTCTGTGGTGCCTCGTCAATAATATTTGGTGGTCTTAGTCCCTGTGACCACAGCTTTCTCACAACCCTTGGTCATTAAAGCATCGCTAGTTTCATACGACGTCGGGATGTAACGCCAAACTTGGTATTCGTCAGCGATACTTAAATTCGAAAGACAGCCCCACTGCTCAGCTCAGGCCACCGTATCATACTTGTTTTGCTCAAAATATATTGCAAACTACATACAACACCCTTCACATATGAAAAAACCGTACACAGGGACCATTCACATGGTAACATACTTAATCTAACAGAAATCCCACAATGTACAGACTTGAACATGCTTGGTAGTGACGTTTTGAAAGACGCTATTGATGGTATTACATACCACCTGAAGCGTTGTCCGGATATCTGTTGCCCTGGTGAAAAACCTTCTGCGCTTCGAACGGATGTCTTCTCAGCCCAATGGACTAAGAAGAGGAAGAAAAGCTGTAGAAAGGAGGTGAAAACGCTGATGCTCGTCAACAGAACATTTTAGCTCGTCTGGAAATTAAACGTTAAAGTCTAATTTATAAGCAGAAGCTTTTGTCATTCTAGGGCACTTTCGGTATGTGGAAGCCTCCAAAAGACCTTGCATTAAACTCAATTTCTCCCCTCAGGCGTATCGTTCTGTCGTTAGTCATCGTACATTTTTGAGATGTTTGGCTGTATCAGGAATTGCTGAGAGCATCCCACACACTTTCTTCAGGTCTCGTAAGCCTTGCGCCTCCTTTTGGTTTTCCGTTTGCTGTCAAAGTGCACTTGAAATACATTGGTCATAAACATTCGTGTTTTCGCCTTTTAAGTACGCTTCGTCGTTAGTAGAATTACTAGCAACGGATACTGGGCCTATTGTATGCACCAACTGAACGGATCCTTTCACATCGCGGATCCATTAAAACAGGTAGTTGTGCTAAACTGGAGAACCCGACTTCCGGAATTTTCATTACTTATGGTTGCCTGTTAACTACGGAACTATATCAGTGGGTAAACTGTGGATCATAACCTAACATTGCGGAATCAAATACGTTGGAACTACCGAAACACTTGTTGGAATATTACATGTGGATTTTCCCCCTCCCTCGTACAACCGGAGTTTGGTAGATTTACTACATTTTAATTTCAATTCATTTCCTTTCCTTTCTAAATTTTGTATTCGTATTTTATGTTCCACACCTTGCTCTATATTTTCTTTAACTGCTTCAGAAATCTACGTACCTTATCCTACACAGCATTTCATAAAATACTCAATCCTTTCATACCAGGCCCGTGAACCCTATTCACTGTTCTGTCCCGCTTCCATGCCAGTGATCGACACTGTAGTCTCCTCGCTTAGAACACTAGTTTACGTCAAATCATATTATTACGCAGGGCACGAATCCTGGATACACCAGTGTGAGTCTACCTGGTGAAATTACCGAACAGGTACGGGAGGTTCTGCTTGAACCGGACTTGGATGGATCATAGGACCAACTAAAACAGACGGTCATTCAAGTCGTATCGCTCACGTAACAACAAATGTTTTATAAACTCCTCAGTTAAGTACAACTGGGAGGCAGGATGAAATCACAGCTTCTACAGACTGTACGAACTTACTGAATACAGACATAGCTTCAGATTCACTCGTACTCAACATTTGATATGCAATTCACCCTTATAGGTTTCACTACTAACTATTACTTCTCACACCGAGTAATTATACCATCGTTAATTTTCACCACTGTTGTTTGGCGACGTTGCTCTTGTCGAACATTTGTGACAAGTAATATCCAAACAATTGTTTGCTCCAGAAAACTTTGTATGACACGATTATACGTTTGTTTCTAAGCTTTTACAGCTTCAATAAGGGAAAAACATCCAGATATTGCCTGTAATAATGGCACGTTAAATGTTAAATGTTTTATTCTCGCATTAAAAAAAGATTTTAACATGAGAGAAGCCAGTTTACAGGCTTCATCACGTTGATACACTTCAAAATATCTACAAGACTTGAGCCCTGAGTGGTACTGATGGAATGTCATTAAACTCAACCAACAACTGCCGAAGGTTTTGCTGGTTACGAAATGAATGAGGAAATATTACCTTGCAGCGTACGTGGTGTTAAGGTTTAGATAATAGTAAATATTGTCTTCACTTAACAGGTTTAACATGAGGGATACCAGTTTACAAGCACCGTCAAATTCATAACTTTTGAAAGTATCTGGTATTAAATAATTTACATATCAAGTTATTAGTGTGCATAATCTTATTGAAATTTACTGAAATTCATGAGACGTATATGGATTGCCATCCCCCATCACATAGATGGGTTCCATTATCAATATCAAAAGCTGGCAGTGCTCAAAGTTCGCGTTGTAACCAACCGACGTTGTTAGTCCATTCGCATAGTTTTGTAGCGTCATACACTTCCCCAAAATCAATAGCCTAGGGTTTGACGACTTTCGACATCGATGCTTACCTTGATAG